TTTAATAACTCCTCTAGTTAGACTAAGGAACCCCCGTGTGCCGCTTTAACGTAATTTTGTCACTTCTGTCGTAATTTTGACTCCTTTAAACTTGTCAAAGCTTGAATTTCTAGCTCAAGGTTTTTGTGCAAGCCAGAACCATGCATGTGGACAATGCACGTTTTAATGGTCTGTGGCATCTGTGGCCTTAGACATTTCAGTTCAAAGCAGCTTCTTTCTTCTTTCCCTCTGCCAGAAAGTGCTCCGAAAGAGGAAGCTGGCTTGAAAGTGCCTCCTTGTTCTTAGTAAGGTTGTGTCAGTGTTAGCACGTTGTTAACTTAGGGCTGCGACGTTTCTCCCAGTCTGCTGTGTTTACTCTTATTCACAGGCTGTGAAGAGTCCCACCCCTAAGTGTTATAAACGTACCTATTCCTGGACATTTAATTGCAAGCATATTTTACTATAATACCCTGATAGCTGGATTCAGATGTTCTTTTTTTGAACTGGGTAAATGAAGGCTGATTTACACCTTTTTTAATTTATCGATACCTGCATGACTTGCAATTTTCTGCTGATTTTTAGAGTGCTGATGTGTCTTGTATGATTTCCTTTTGGCCGTTGTGAAAAGTCAAAATCGTGTTTTGGGAAAGCCTGTGAGGAGTAAACCTATCCAGAAAAGCTAACCTTCTGTAGGAGTGTGGGTGGGTCATGAATTAAGGCTGCAATTTTGAGAGACTTGCTTGGGCTTAAACTTGTTGCAGGTGACCCAGACAGATGCCATCTGTGGCTGTTATATTTTAAGAATGGCGTGATAGTTCTATAGCCACCTTGGGTGGGATTCATCTCGCTTGCCTTGAGATGCCTACGGAGTAGGTACCCGAGTCTCAGCTGGTTGCGTTGGTCTTTGTGTGATTACCGTGTAGAGGTAGGCACTCGGACTCTGTTTCACCCAGCCAACTGTAGGAATCTATTTTAGTTTGAGATGAATCACCCTAGAAATGTTGTGTTTTATCTAGCCAACTGTAGGAAGCTATTTTAGATGGAGATTAATCACCCTAGAAATGTCTTCTTCCCTCCAAGAGGGACTAGAATGGCTAGTTCAGATGAATCTCACTGTTTAGGGCTGGTGGAATTTGGCCAAAAGGCTTTTCTAATAGACTCTGTTTGCTTAGGAACTGAAACCCTTAAAGCTGTTAGTGGAGAAAACTGCTCAGGAACGTGGCATGCGTTTAGAAAATATTATTGTCAGGAGTTGGACAAATGGGCTTTCCCAGGCCTTGTTGTTAACGCACTGCGTGTGATTTACACCGACCCTTTGCCGGACATAGGACTACGGCTGATTTAGTAGGTCTCTACTTTAGATCCCAGCCCTGAAAAGTCGTTTCACGTAGCTCGTGAGCAGTTGTTGGCTTCCTTGCCAACCTCCTTGGGGATGGTCATTTTTTAGTTTTTATTTTTCATGTGGAAAAACGCAAGAGAGGTGGTAGTTCAGTATGGTATGGGCTTCTGTGCTGATGTGAAGAGGACTGTGTATGTTGTCAACCATTCCTTAACTACTTTGTTTGCCTGATTATGAAAAGTACTAAAGTTAGTGTTAAAATGAGGTTTTTATTTCTGATACACTTACTGGCAATGAGCTATTTTTCATATCGTGTGTTTGTAATGTTTGGATGGTCTTTGCTTGTTGGCAGAGAGAATGATTATGGTGGGGGTTTTTTCAGTGTTGCTTTCATTTTTCCTGATGTGTATAATTTGCTTTTAAAATATCTTAATTTTTTTAATATAAACAAGCATATACACTTAATACTCAGAGCCAGACATAGTCTATAAATAAACATATATATCTCGGGAACTATTCACTTAACTATTAAAATTTGGTTATCAATATGCCAGGGCACTAGCAAAACTTGGAAATGAGCAGGAATAATAATAATAAAAAAAAAACCCCAAACCTGTCATTTCTCAGTTGGAATTTTATTTGACTTGCAAACCAGACTAGTCTAAGAAACAGCCTTTGGGGTGGTAAAACTAAGTATCTCTGTTGAGATCAGTTGAATTAAACTGTTTCTAGCAGTTTAAAAATTGACTAATGATTTTGGGTTTTCCAGGAAATGAAACTTGCAATAAAGAATACTGGGTTTTGATATTATTTTTCATGAAGTAAGTGGGCTATGAAATTGGGAAACATTCAATTTTTTGCTTCCTATGTTCTTAGAGGTGCTTGTTTCTGATGTTAATGGTATGAAAATATTCACAGGAATTGAAAGTATAAGAAATTCAGCCAAGTATACAAATAAAATGTAAGAATCCAGCTTTTTCCTATCATAGAAGCACACCCTGGTTATTGAGGTGCATTCTGCCTCGTTCTTTGTCAGCTCAAAGGTTTTTAAATCATTTATCCAGCACTCCCCAAGTGGTATAGCCAGAGAAGTAAAGAAATCTTTCATCACAGACTACGTGAGGTTAAGAGACTCTTCAGGGAGAGAGTAAGCACCTTGGAATCACCTAGGATCATAATGATAGCTATTATGCAGAGATTATTTTAAAGCGCTCTTACTGACTTCTCAAAGCTGACTTAGCTTTATGAACTGTTTCTGTCTGCTTCTCGTTCAGTGAGTGGTAGGTATTCAGAAGATGTGCTCTTGTCTGTTAAATTTCAAATAATTCCTTTTCTTTAAGTTTGGTAGTTCTGAAGCTTTAAATTTATTTCTCTGTTTTCTTTTGCATTGTTTTTGGTTTTTTGGGGGGTTTGTTTTGGGTGGGTGTGGTTTTTTTTAGAATCTTAAATTATATATATAACGAATATATGCTGCATCCTGTAGGTGGTCAGGGATCAGTAGGTCAGTACAGATTCTTAACCTTGTGTCTTTGCCCAAGATCAACCAGCTATCTTACTGGCACTTGGCATGGCATTTATTTTGTCACAGTGATAGTGTTTAGGATTCAATTTATCCCCTAAAAATTGTAGTGTAGAAATTCTTAATGGGTCATTGTTGCTGATAATTAAGAACACAAAAAATGTTTAGATTAAGAAAAAGAGCAAAGGGTGTTGTTAGGAAACACAGAGGTGATAAGTGCAGGATTCAGAAATTATTGCTCGAGTGTGAGGAAAAAAACAGGAGTTGTTTTTATAATAATAAATTGGGAAAGCTGTAAATGCTGCATTCCATTTTGTGCCTTTAAAGGGAAGTGGTTTAGAAAGCAGGCTGGCCATCTGTGTGCAAGGGAGTATTTAGGTCAGTGGGTCTGTTCTGTCCTGCTTTGTTCCAGGACGAAAGGATCTGTTGTGCTGAAGGCATTCTGGTCTTTGATACATGCAGGTTTCTGTTTAGTAAGTACTCTTTCATGAATATTCATGAGGTGAGATTATACTTCAATAACTTAACCTAGTAATTATAGGTTGCGATGACCTAAGTGAATTAACGCTACGTTTTATTTATAAAGAGCTCCTGTGAAATTGTTGGGGGTTTTTTATTTGGTGTATGACTGCATGAATTTATAGTAGAAATATGAAATGAGATTATTATGAAGTGATGATTAATCATAAAAATATTTCAAACATCTACCTTTCGTGCCTTTGTAGTGTTTATGATGTAGTGGTTTTTAACATATTTTTAATATCCTTAGCTTGAATATGTTGTGTATTTGAGTAACCAAATTTTCTTTCTGTTGCGAATGCCCGAAGTCTGTTTCTTATTTGTCAAGTATTTATTAATTTTTAAAGTTTCCACCTCCTTTTTTGGGACTTCCTGTGTGAGTTAATGAGTTAAAGAGCTTCCTAAAATAAAACGGGGGCTGACTCTGTGCAGTCTGACTTGGTGGAGAGAGGATTAGTGGAAGACCAGGCAAGCTGCTGTTCAAGTATTAGCCTATTTTCATTTAACTCTCCAGAGTCATATTCCAGCAGAAAATGGGAACCCAGCAGGTAATTCTTATGGTGTAAGAAGTGCTTACACTTAAGAGGGAAAAACATACTCTGTGTATCATTCTTTTTACATATTTTACCTATCATTTACACACAGCACAGATGGTAAATGAAAGAAAGCTTACAGTAAAGTATCCAGCTTTCCTTCCTGCTGGATTTTGGAAGTACTCATCTTGGGTTTTGCCTCCTGCCAACAATAGAGGTTCATTTCCTTAAATGACCTCTCTCAGTCCCTCATCTCTCCCATGATGGAGTTAGTTCTTGACTGTTTCTAGGTGTGTCACGGGGGATACTTATCTTGGTAGCACATGAAGCCTAAAGGAGTGCCTGCGTTTGCTGAAGCGATGCTAATTCTGACTCTGTCCCTAAACATCAGCTGGGTAATTCTTTGTGGTAGCTTTGCACTGAGATAGAAAAGAAGTGGAATAATAGTGCTTTGATGCCCTGAGACTGTTTTCCTTTCCCAGTGGGTCACTAGGGATTATTTTGGCTTGTGGCTTTTCTTCTGTCCCTCCCAGAAACAAAGCAGTTTTCCTTGAGAGGAGAATTGTGAAAGGAACTTTGGTGGAGAACTTTACAAGCTTTCAAGACTTTTCCAACTTACATGACTGACATTATGTGTAATTGTAGATTTTATGTCAGAAATATGGCAAACTCTTCTTTTTTTTTTTTTTTTTTTGGATGTCCAGCTTGTTTAAAACCCATAGTTCACTATGTATTTTTCAAGTTTCATTTAGTGTTAGTTGCAGTATTCTGATCTTATGAGTAATGCCACCTGGGGTGATTTTTGCAGCAGGACGTTTGAGGCGCTGGGGGATTTATGTGGAGTCTGCTAAGACTGTGTAAGGAGGAGAAGAGGTGTATCTTGTATCGCGTTGGTGCGTTGATCGGGTTGATGAGGTCTTTCAGGACTGTGGGAAGACAATGTACTCTTTTTGTACTTAGGTTGTAGCAGTGCAACCCGTATGGTTCTTGTGTCAGAGGCACAGAAGCTACCCAGGCACAGTATTTTTTTTTCCAAGTGAAAATCAGAATGGATCCACGATGATACAGCTCCTACTGGACACTGAGCTTTTTATTGTCATTCACAGATAACTTCTCAGTAGATGGAAACCCGTGCGTTGCTTCTGGAGTCCTCAACCTCATGAATCCAATAACTACGCCTGCTACCACCACTCCTTTCAGTGCTTCTGTCGCCGAGCCTCCACGGAAGCGGAAAGGAAGCGATTCCGATAACCAGTAAGTAAATCGATTCCGTAGGTGTCCCTACATAAATAACAGATGAATGTCTCAAATTTATGCAGCGTGGTAACTGTCTAATCCTCTTTCCTTTATTTATCACCTTTATTTATCACAATGTCTTCCAAATGCATTCTTTGGCAGTCCTGAGTTATTAAGAATAGAAGAAATGATCCTTAAATCTAAGGGATATACGTAGGATTCTGTAATGCCATTTCCCAGCCTAAAGTGTCTGGGTAACGTGTCTCTCATGCTGAAATTTCAATCCTAACTCCCCCCCCACCCCCTTCTCTGCCTGCTAGTGCAGGCAAGTTCTCTCTGCAGCAAGTTGTTAGTAACTTGGTTGAAGTCTCAGGAGTGCAGGCTGGAGTATCACCTTAAAGCGTGAAACAAGATTACTAGTTAAGCTCTTTGATGTAGAACTGCAGAATCGGAACTGCTTCTTCAGTGACCAGGGCAGCCATTTACTTAAATGTCCAGACAGGTCTGTGACCTAAAAATGAGGACTGTCCTACAGTAGTACTCAGCCTTTTAAAGTGGGTCATATTTGACTACGGAGATGATACTGTCAACTGCTTCCTCCTGTTTTGTAACTGCCAAACAGATGTCAGTTAACCAAATAATTATTTACATCGAAATTTTTTTTTTTTCAGAAGTGATCTATTCAAAGCTATATTAATCCCCAGAAGTAAGGGACCCAAGCCAGCCTGCAGATCTAGTGCATTACAGGCATCTCCAAATTAGTGTGGAAAATCCAAGTTTAAAAAGGGGGAGGAAATTTAGATGTATTTGCGATGATTAAAGCAACTCTCTTCAATTGCTGCTGCTTCTATATATAGTCCACTGATCTACAGAATGTAGCCATCCAGTGGATGTTGATATAATCATCTAGTTGGAGATTTAAATGTATCTTGGAGATCACTGAAAACTCCAGAAATACGTTAGTTTCTGAATAAAACGTCTGTGTTCTTTGTCAGTAGCAGCGGTTGATTTTTACCTGTTCAGTAATAGTGCTGGTTCATCCATAGTGTTTACCTGAAGTTTGGATCTCTCTTTGATTTGATAGAACTTCTGTCATAAAGAAATTCATGTCCAAGTTGAAATACTAATTGAAAAAGTATTGTTTTATAAGAACTAGTAATTATTTTCTAAACAACTAATGTTTTTGTCGAAAATAACTAGTCAAGCAGGGTTTCCACTGAAGTTTTTGTGTGATGACTTTTCATTGGGTATATCAAGTCATCTTTTTGTGCTTCAAGCTACATTTTGCTTAGTTTATTACCTGTTTCTGCAGGGATACAGTTGAAGTTGATGGTGATCCTCAGAAAAGGTACTTTTTATAAATGAATCCATTTCTGTTTTCAGTGCTATAACCATGTTGCATTTTCCTGTTTGTCTAGATGAGCTGTGTGGTTTGCCTTAAGGAATGCTTTGTCTAAGGGCAGGTCTTTGTACAGCACAAGGTGATAAACCTAGCTAATTAACAGGATGGATAGGTCCATCCAATGCTAACGTTTTCCAGTATTTCTTTCTAAGGAGACATGCTGACTTGCTTATAACTTTTCATTCCCATTCTTAAGTTCAATACTAACAAGTCTGGCAAAGTAACAGTTAAATAAGAATAATATTCTTTTTTTTTTTTTTCCTAAAATTGAATAGATTATTTTGCTTGGAAGTGACCTACAGCGATCATCGAGTCCAACTGTCTGACTACTTCAGGGCTGACCAAAAATTAAAGGATGTTGTTAAGGTCATTGTCCAAATGCCTCTTGAACACTGACAGCCTTGGGACATTAACTGCCTCTCGAGGAAGCCTGTTCCAGTGTTTGACCACCCTCTCGGGAAAGAAATGCTTCCTCATGTCCAGTCTAAACCTCCCCTGGTGCAACTTTGAACCATTCCCACGTGTCCTGTCAGTGGATACCAGGGAGAAGAGATCAGCGCCTCCTTCTCCACTTCCCCTCCTCAGGAAGCTGTAGAGAGCGGTGATGTTGCCCCTCAGCCTTCTTTCTCCAAGCTAGAGTCATAGAATCTTTTAGGTTGAAAAAGACCTTTAAGATCGAGTCCAACCGTTAACCCAACACTGCCAAGTCCACCACTAAACTGTGTCCCTAAACACCACATCTACACGTCTTTTCAATCCCTCCAGGGATGGTGACTCCACCACCTCCTTGGGCAGCCCGTTCCAATGCCTGACAGCCCTTTCCAGGAAGAAATGTTTCCTAATATCCAATCCAATCCTCCCCTGGTGCAACTTGAGGCTGTTTCCTCTTGTCCCATCCCTTGTCTCTTGGGTGAAGAGACCAATTTCCTGATTAATACAGATTCTTTTATTTCTAGTACCAATTAAGTATACCTATGGTAAAGCCCTGAGGTAGAATTTCACCCTGTGTTCACATAGTCAGGGTAGTTCTAATCTAGCTGCTCACGTCAGTAACAATCCGGCTGTTAGGACAGAGGCTGTATAAATCCATTGAAGGCTGTGACTGACTGCTTGAGCAGCAAATTTCTTCTAGTTTCTTCCTCAGGTGGAGCTCCTGAGGGAAGAGGAGAGTTAGTTAATAGGCCACATGCTGCAGTGTGCCCCCTTACCTCTGCTCCTCCTGCAGTCAGAGGATGTAACTTCTCTTGGAGTTGATACTATATACAGGTTTCTAGTAAAAGTTTCATTTAAAATGAAAGAAAGTTGTTGCTGACTCATCTGGATCTGAAACAGTTTAACTGAAGAAAAATCCTAGGGTCTTGTGAGTTCAACCTATTCCTGTGGCTGGGTTTGCCAGACAGTCTAGAAGATTCCTGGGTGTTAATTTGGCTCTAGCTGCTGGAGCCTCGCTGGAGTCTGTGCTTCGTTACAGGTGGAAGCATCTTTGGGGGTCTTGCCTAAAGCTGTGATCACCAACTGTTCTTCTGCTTCCATCTCCTCATAAGAAACAGCTGCTGGCTGTCTCCTTATAATCCTTCTGGTACAACATATGCCTCTTCTAAAATGCTCGTAGGCTGACAGGTCTCTCCTCTGGAACGGAGATTAGAGTACAGCATGAGATGTTTCCACTGCCAAATTAAATGATGAGGAAATTATGTAGAATGATTAAAAATATTTGTATCAGTTTTTCTTTAAAAGAAAATGGTGGCCAGTATTTCTATAGGAACTGCTTCTCTGGAAGTACCAGATCACTCCTACTGAATTGGCAAGTTAACTATTAGGCCACACTCTGAAATTCTTAATAGATGGTGGTGAAGAATACTATGATCTCAGGGGCAGAAAAAGATCCTTGCCCTTGTTTGAGTTGACAGATACTCGGCAGCAGGAAAATATAAAGGACATGCCACAGGCACTATGGTTTTCTTTCATTTACAGTTTTATTATGTAGACTTTCCAGTCATTGCTCTATGGTATGGGAAAATACTTAATTCTTACTTTTTCTGACTGTGAGCGGTTAAAATGTATTTTAGGCCCAGTTTAGGCTAGGGTTGCTGCTTTTCATCTTTTGACAATAAGATTTTGGAAATAAAAACATGAATAGATGATATCTCTTGTTATTTGTTTTAAATTAAAAAAAAAAGTAAAATCAAGCCTGGACTTAAGTTATTGGAATGTGTCGTTGATTTTGTTTTCTCCAGGGTGGAAATATGCCCACAACATGTTCATGTAACTGTGAATATTGGAAGTTACGCTGTGGTCTCTTTCTGTTATGCATCACTTGCTGTATCATTTTTGTACTGGGAATTTTTGTGGGTTCGCTTTTGTTAGAGCCATAGTAAATTTGTGACACTTTCTATATTCATGGGGGGGGGGGAAGGAAGTGCCTGGTATTAAATATGCAATGTAAAACTGTGTCTTGTTTTCTCTAGGAGTGAAGATGAAGAACATGTTAAAATAAAAGATTTCAGGTACTAATTTACGATAAAAGTACATTTGGCTAGTAAGTACTAGGTTTCACAATAGTAAAATATGACTCTGGGATAACAGTCATTAAAACTGTCAAATACTTAACAGTAAACTTTTTCCCCTTAAATGTACACTAATTTTTAAAGCCTCCTTGAGGATTTTACTTTCTACTAATTTTAATGAAGAGTTGTGTTGTAGAATATCTCAGATGGTTTAGCAAAAACCTGAGGTTAAAATTTTCACCGTGAGAAGGAAATGCAGTACACTCAAGTTGTGTGTAAAGGGAGGAGCTGATCCTCAGCCCATACGAATTCGAGAATTGCTTTTCCTAGATTTGTCTACATTTGGAGATTATATAAAATTTATCCCACGTGTAAATGGGTTCAGCTGGAGCATGGCCAAGAATTCTTGTTCCGGAACAAGTCCTTGTATGGGGAATTATTCAAGGTGTGCCACTGTACTTTGAATTCACATCTTCCCTGAATCCCAGTGGCAATTCACATTTTTAAAGCACTTTTAAGATTCGAAATGTTGTGTGACTGAATGCAGTCCTGATTCATCCAAACAAATACTTTAAACCACAGACAAGCCACTTAGTAAAACTACAGCTGTTCTATCAAGTTGTTTTAAAAATACATCTCAGGCATTTGTCATGTGAGCAGAGATGTCAGAGCAGAAATACATAAACCACTCTGCTGTCAAAAGCATTATTTACACGTTTTCTTTACTGAGTATCCCAGATGGCTGTACGAGATTGTTTTGGTACGTGGCTTTAATAATTCCATGTTGTATTGTTTATTATTTTTCCTTACATTTTGGCTCATTAGTTGGAGGGGAAAAAACATTAGAAGACACTTTGTAGTTTTGCGTAACAGTTATCTCCCTCCAGTGTTTCTTTTAGCAAGCTTGTTGGAGAACTTGCCTTTTCCCCTTCCCCTTTGAAGCAGGGAATAACTGGTAACAGTGTAGGTGCCCATTTGTAACTGGGGAAGCCTGTAACAGCAGGCTGCTGGAACCATTCAGCCGTCACATGAATTTCTGCACTCACCTGCACTCACCTGTTCCGATTTCTGTAACTTCTTACTCACTCTTCGGGATGTGGAGGACTGTTCTTTCCTCAGGTGTTTGTAGCTGCCTTCCTGAGGTTCACCGTTCACGGAGCACACATTACCTGACTGTCCCTACCTGACATGAAGGAAAAGTTGGGTGAAGCTGTAGACTTGAGAATAACTGATAAAATTAAATTTATAAAAGGCTTTACAGAGAGAAAAGCTAATTGGATGAATTACCCGGAATTGTTTGTGTGGAGGGGGGATTTATTTTGGGGAAAAATAATAAACATAGTAGAAGACTAGGTCTTTAAGACTGTAGATTGTTCTTTCTCAGCAGGCCCGATGTCGTTAACTTTCCTACCTTTAATACTTCTGTTACAGTATGCCTAATGGTAAGAGTTTGGGACATTGGTTAACCAAAACGTGTTGTCCCTCAGTGTGGGTAATGACCATTGTGTCTGGTCTCAATCAGGGAGGAAAATAATCTTCATTTGAGTTGAGTGGCAGCTTGTCTTCTGGGTGAGGGGGAACAGAATGATTCAAACTTTTCTTGATCTGCTAGAGGATGTTAGAAGGGAGATAAGCTAGAAAAACTAACGTGCTCCACTAGAAAGAATTAAAGAGAAGGTAACCTGAGAGATAAATGTATTTGATGTGCACTGTCATGTGCCTTAGAAGGGGTTTTCTGATGGAACTGCCTGAGAGGAGAAACTCTTTCTGTGGCTGAGTTCTTGGCCAGAGGCTCACCAAGAGATGAAACATGAGAGGCAGGGTATGCGGCGAGGCTGAAACCCTTTCTACCACCTCATCAGGTGCATGAAGGGGAAAGCTCTCTGAAATACCTCTGGTGAATATAAATGAGACTTAGCTTTTTCTTTCAGTTTCCACTCTGTCTTATAAGTAGATAAAAATGTGTTGTCTGTTGCTTGTGCCGTGCTGAATTAATGTGTTTGTGCCGTCTTCAATGTGAGTAATTTGTAATGGCTTATCTCAGATTGTTGTAAGTTTGCATAAAACAGGAGTTCAAAGATGCTTTAGCAAGTGCTTGGAGCATTCTTTGTTTAAAAAACCAGAAGCGGTAGAATGAATACCCCACCTTACTTACACAGGCCAGGGAGCAGCCATGTGTTCCAGGGATTACTAATGACATCAGAAGCTCTCTGGTATACAGTAAGATGTCCAGGGTCACAAGAAACATTAAATTCTAGAAGTCTTCATAGCCTCTTGTTCCTTCCACATACAATCAAGTTGTTGCTTGAGATATTGCCCCCCGCTCAGTATTTCACATTGTTACTATGACCAGTCCTGCGTTGCTCAAGTGAATCCAATTCAGTTGGCAAGTACAAGTAGTGTATGAAAAACTGTCTGAATGCAGTAATACTTCTTGTGATCTGTTCCCAAAATTAAACTGATTAATATTATGGGGAGAATCCTGTGTTCTACATCTCTTAAAATAATTTTTCTCCTTAGAGAGGCTCACAGTCAAACAGAGAAACGAAGAAGAGACAAGATGAATAATTTGATAGAGGAGTTGTCTGCTATGATACCTCAGTGCAATCCCATGGCACGAAAGCTAGACAAGCTTACAGTGTTACGGATGGCTGTGCAACACTTAAAATCCTTAAAAGGTGGGTTTTTGGAATCTAATCCTGAAAGTCCTTGTTCTGTCAGGAGTTATACTGTGTATCTTCTCAGGTGGTCCGTGAATCAAAGGTGATTTGTTTTGTGTGTCCTTGCTGAATTCAGTTCTGAGTCTGTTCTTCATTTAAACTGAGGTGTTTGTAGCTACCAGAACTTCGTTTCTTCGTTTTGGTTGGTTGAGCCGAAGAATAGTCACCCTTCAGTGCCTGACATTTTCTGTCTTTTAAGGGTGTGCCTTGCAATACCTGTCACTCCTTCTTTCTTTTTGAGAATTAGAGATCAAGCAAGTCTGTCTTTCATTATTTTCTGACCCCCACATTAAACGTGTTCTGTGGTCTCTCCACTTCCCATCATACTTTCTGGAACAGTAATGTCTGTGGTGCTGTACTGATGCCAACAGCTATACTGCCAGTAGGGAAGCAAATTGTCTTCATGCTCCTGTTTGTTATTCCCACGTTTGTGATTGCATCCAGTCTCTTTGTCTCTGTACTGGAATTCCATGTTTATCTGCCGACTTTGAAATTTACAACATCATGGAAAAAGACCTTTGAAAACATGCTTACCTGAAGAAAGTGATGTAAGTAGTTGCACTGGGAGTGCAGAGAACTCACGTCAGTGATAGGCTGTGTCTTTTACAGCATAACCTCATAAACCCAAAACCAGCTGTGTAAAAGTAAAGAAAAAATTAGTTTGGACATTATCCTCTTTCAAACTTATTTTTTGCCTGCAAGAGCAGTAGTCAAAAGCAATGTTTCGAGACTAAACGTACTTCAACAGGATGGTTGATGGCTTGGATTACACTCAGGTCTTAAATTCCATGACTTGTTAGAGAGTACCAAGGCAAGTTTGTATCCTCAGTCAGCTAGTGAAGTTAATCGTGAGTCTCGTGAATGGTTTTGTGTTGGCATCAAACCAGGATATATTCTTTCCTATCCTTTTGCTATTGCTAGGTTTTGTGATTATTTTTTTTTATCCCTCCCCTGAAAAAACCTATATCCAAATACCAGTTGCATATCGCATGGTTTGTCAGCAGCACACAAGATTTAAGGTGTTTTGGCACCACTGTTTCAGAATAATAATTTGGTCAACTGTAAGCAAAGACCAAAGACTTCTGCATTGCAAAAAAAAATTGATTATGAATAAACATATCTAATAAGAGCCCCATTAGCCTTAAGTCAGAGGAGTGTAGGAAACGAATTTTGCTCCTAGCTTGTAGAGTCATAGAATAATGTAGGTTGGGAAGCATTCCTTAGAGGCTTGCTGGCCCAAGCAGGCTGAGTGTTCCATGTAAGGAAATGATAGGACAAATTAGCAGGGCACTAATTGCACTTTTAAACCAGCATTTGCAAGAAATCTTCAGCTCAAACATTTGTATTTTAAAAGTAGGATATGGAAATTGGACTCCGTCCAGCACAGTTGTTATATGTATCTGCAGAACTAATGCTTTAAGAAGTTACAAGATACTGTGTGGAATTATAGTGAATTCTGAAAATTGGAAAGTTCAACTGCTATTTACCTAAAAACAAACAAACAAAAAAATCTAGAAAAGGTTCTGGAAATGCTTGTAATGGCTAAAAATTATTTTAGAGTAATTGCCATGGAACTGTATTGGAAGCTGGAATTGCCATAGGACAGTAAACGTGGTGAGTCAGTCTCATACTGAGGGAGACATTAAATTTCACTGCAATAGAGTTGTTTCTGGACTGTTGGATATATAGTGAAGCATTATTTATGACAGTTGATAATATTGGAGTTATTCACGTTCAGCAAATGTCAAGAATTCTGAAATAGGCCCGTGAAATGTTTCTAGAAAATTCAGTTTTCGTAATACCGCTTCTCTAGCAGTACTTTAAAGATAGCTGAACAGAAGTTTCCTTGGTTTATGCTAAATAAAGGGCAAGAAAAATCTGGATGTGTGCCCATATTCATTACCAGCCTTTCTTTGAGTTTGAGTTGGTTTTATTTTTAATATTTTTACAACTTTAATTCTTTTTATTCAGCTGTCGCGGTTTTATTGTATAAATTTTCTGTGCATCCAAGTGTAAGTGTTAAAAGTAAATTTAAAATGTGACTTTTGACATTACGTCTGCAAATAATCTGTTTTCCAGGTTCCACTAGCTCCTATACAGAGGTCCGGTATAAACCTTCATTTTTAAAGGACGATGAGCTCCGACAGTTAATCCTTAGGGTAAGCGGAAAGAAACTCTCAGTTAAATGATGTCCTTATCGAAGCTTGCCATTGACTCGAGTTTTAAGTAGGAAAGTGCTTTTTTTCTCCACCTTTTTCTTCAAGCAAGTGCTTTTATGAGGTTGTTAGGTAGAGTGTACAGCGCCTGCTTTACCGTAAAGGGGTGGAGAAGATGATTGGTGTGAGGGCAGACAGCGGCCCTTGAAGGGGTAATTAATCTGTATGCAGCCCACGTAGTAATACGTAGTGTTTGATGCTGATACTGGTCTGCAAGCAAATAGAGGGGATGCTTTTAATTACACATAGGTATACTTGCAATCGTTTGCTCTCCTTCATTTCAATTTTTGGAGATGTACTTTGAAAAAGATACAGGAATAATACCTGAAAGAAAATCTTTCTTACTGCTGTTGCACTTTGTCATATACCCACACCCCTTTACCCTTTTTTCACTTGCAACTCTCTTCTTTTTCCTTTGCTGCAATAACAAACTTCGCCAAGATCTGTAAGATGACTCCCAAGTTAAGCTGTTTTGCAGCTGGCTGCTTCCTTTCCCAACCTGTGTTTAAGGAACTTTAGCTGTCTGTAGCGGAAGGTCTGATTTGGTCCTTGCAATCTTAATGGCTTTTTGGTGTGATTTACAACTTAATTTAAAAATTCAGGCTTAAAAGTGTGCTTCATTGTAGTCAACAATATTCACTGTGTATTTTAATTGTATGTTTTTAAAGACAGTGTCTTTATATTTTCAGGCTGCAGATGGATTCCTGTTTGTGGTTGGATGCAACAGAGGAAAGATTCTGTTTGTCTCAGAATCAGTTTGCAAAATACTTAACTATGATCAGGTGGTTATAACTGAGTTTCTTGGTTTGCTTTTACCTTGCGTTTTCATAGGAATTTTTAAACTTTTCCATTTTATTGTATGCTACTAAAGAACAGTCCTTGTCTATCATTTCTTGGAACTTCTTTGATTTATCCTTCAGAGTAAGGCTGAATATCCTGGCACGAAATATTTGCAAGTACAGTCAGTGTTCCTGACTTGAGTAGTAGCACCAGATTTCAATTGATCTCCCGTAAGAAAACTGCTAGGCCGAGAGGAAGGGATAATTTGAAGCTGTCCTAATTTCTATTTCCAAGAGACTTTCTTTTAAATGGTGAAGTTCTTGGGTTTTTTAGGCCAAGGAAAATTGGTAGCTCGACAGTGGAAGTTAAAGCTTTCCTTGGTAATGCCTTTACGCTCAGATGCACTACGTAACACCTCATCCACAACAACTACCTGTGTATATGCCCTTAACTTGAAGGGAACTGATCTAGGGTGAGTTAGGTTACCCTGTTGAATAAGAGAAATAGGAAAAGTGTAAGTACCTTCCATTAGTTGACATTTAACATAACGGGCACTTACCACAAATAATCAAGGCATGAAATCTTGTTCGTGTATTTATGACTTCTGTTCCAAAACCAGAGACTAAAGCTGTTACTGCTTCCATCTGTCTACTTCATAACTTTGAAACCATTTGTGCTATGTTCTTTTTCTTCAAAATGGAAGGGTAACCAATCTGAGCTCTTTTATAGGTTTATTTTTATTTAAAAAAAAAAGACAAACACTGCATCTTTTAAGTTAAAGTGAAATGAATCATCTCATGGTAACAAGCATAAAGCAGATTTTTCTTTTATAACTTCTACGCTGAGTTTACTCAAGGACTAAAAAGAATCTTTAGAAGTATTTCGTATCGGACATACCTGCTTTCAGACCCACAAGATCTTTGCTGTTCCAGACAAAGAGGTTCAGAGAACATGACTGACTTAACCCATGAATTTATTCCTTTATTTGGGAATCATTCTAGGTTATGAATCCCATCCTGTAGCCTCATCTGTCAATCTCTGTATTTTGACAAGGCTGCTCTTAGCCTTTCTCAGTGGCACTCAGCATTTTCCCGTTGCTCTGGGGTTGGATGGGGACTGGGCAGATGAAAGAGGCTGTATGTTTATCCTGCTTTCTCAGAAGCTATTCGCTCAACCCATTTCTGGGTCTGGCTGAATGGAGAAGTGCTCCCCTTTGTGTATGCAGAGATCACATATCAGGTGGTGTGCATCTGAAATAAGTTAGGATTTGAATCTAGAATACTGCTTGTCAACACAGTTCCTTTGTACCCGTTGATTTGTCCCGCTGTGGTGAAGGTAAGCAGCCAAACCTCCAAACTAGCCTACTTCTGTCAGAATTCCTTCCTGTTTCAAAAGAAAGTAGTGCTGCCTACAGTAGTGCAGCAGATCAGATACTTGGGGTCAGCCGAGTGAGGAGGTTGAATGTACCCAGCTAAAAAGATTCCTATAAATATTCCCTGCTAACGAGTGCTGAAGGGAGCTGACTCCTGCTTCCAGGCAGCTCTTGGCTCAGCGGTGCCATTCTGTCCAACCAAATTAGAGCTAAGTCATTAGTGTGAAGATTTCTTCCTATTCCCTTGCTTCCCCCCTCCAGTAGTCTGTGGGTGGAGTTATTTTGCGCGTAACCTTTTTTGACGAGGATCGGGAGACGTAAGTGCATAAATAAAACAATTGCATTTACAGAACTGTTTTTTAATATCCAACTAAACATGCTATTTTGCAAAGAAGTAACAAATTATGGTTTTACTACCCCATTTTTATAAAAATATAATACTAAACAGTGGCAAGTCCAACGCGGATGAAACTAGTGATGTTTGGAGTAACTGTGGTATTTGACTTTTTTCAATGGTGTAAAAAGTTGTTTTTCTGAGATAAGCAGTATGTATGGGGCCCTGTTCTAAATCAGTGTGGTTCTTATCTTTGTTTTTTGGTGTTTGTTCTTTTTTTTTCTTTTAACTAGGCCAGTTTAATTGGACAAAGTTTGTTTGATTACTTGCATCCAAAAGATGTTGCGAAAGTTAAGGAGCAGCTTTCTTCTTCTGATCTCTCTCCTAGGGAGAAGCTCGTAGATGGGAAAAGTAAGTCATATTTGAATGTGCTCAGATATTTCTTTTTTAGAGGAAAGTTAATAAATTCAGTTATTTATGCAGGGCATGTTCATGCGTTCATATGTGCATGGATGTACAAACCTGAGGTATAATTTCTGTGAACCAAGCATATTTGAGTGTTTATCTGCTGCTTAGAATGTACTTAGAGTTTAAAAGCTAGCCCAGAAAAGAATTTATTTCAGATAGTAAGAATGACTGAAATTTGCATTGTTAAACATTTACCAAGATGTGGTCTGACATTCTTCCTACCAGGCATACTGCTTTTTTTTCTTGTATTTGATAGGTCTTGTCAATACAAAAGACCTGATGTAGTCGAACATGGGATAAAATACTTCAGTATCAAGAATCACTGTCTTCTCTGAAAATGCTAAGTGTCAATCCTAATTTAACCAAATCTTATTTTGTTTACAGTTATTTCTAGTATGGAAAACCTTATGTACTGTGCAGCTAATCACTATTTTTTAGAGCTGGCTTTTATAAGCATCTTTGCAGTTCTTCCTTGTACCAAATAGAAGTTGAAAGTTTATAAAGCATATTTATTAAAATAACATTCAAAATATCAAGAATAGTTTAAAGGTAGTTTGGTAGTTCTTCTTGATTTTGGAATCTATGTGGCAGTCGCGTTTTCTTTGCCCTGTTTAATTTATTAGACTTTTTCATTTTTAATCATAAGGACAAAGGTTAAGCAACTAAAGAGTAAGGAGAATGTGTTGGAAGTTAAATGAAGAAAAGGCCTTGTATTCTGAAGTTTTATTGTTGGATTTTGGTTTTTAAACTACTCTACTAAATTTTTGTAAGCTGGCTTGCAAGTACACACAGATTTTCAAGCTGGACCAACTCGACTGAATTCTGGTGCTCGGCGTTCCTTCTTCTGTCGGATAAAATGTAGTAGGACCACAGTCAAAGAAGAAAAGGAGTGCTTGCCCAACCCAAAGAAGAAAGGTATTCAAACAATGTAGATGGAGCGGGGGCTTTCTGTCTTGCAACTTGGTATAGTTAAGTTCCCAGTCAGTACTGTGACCCTTGTACTTATCACTGACTTCAGAAAATAGATGTAGAGAAGTGTAAAACTGTACTAGAGACACATTTTTGTAAAGCAGTCTAATTTTACCCTTTCTCCTCCCTGTTTACCCCTGGAAAAGAGGGAGGGAGGGAAGAACCTGAGTTACAGTGGCTGTATAGGAGCGCATGGTCTGTTGTAGTCAAATTTTTAAAAGTCTCAGGGAAATTTTCGAAAGCACGGGAGCAGATCAGAAGAATGAAACTAAATAACGTATGTCTTGAAGATAACTGTGAATAAGGCCTGCAGTATCTACTCTTTTGAAGGAAAAAAGCAAGTAAACCAACTTTTTTTTCCCAATTTACTTTGTGTTATATGTACTTACTATCTTTTTTTTAACCATAAAGTTAATTTATCAGTGTAATATCAATAATTTTAATTTAGTTCACATTTTGGTGTGCCTGTACAGCAGTATACTCTTGTCGAGCTTTCAGTGAATGGGTCTTTCTTTAAAATGTAATTTCCAACTTTTATACCTGAGTACTGATTTTTGCAAAGGTGTGCTGAAATTGCTTGACCCCGAAAAAATCCTCCTACTTTTGTTTTTCAGTGTAACCCGTTGTTGTTACATCTATGTTGTCACACATACCATACAATAGTAAATTTAAAAATAGGTCTGTCATTGTCAGTAAATAGAATTCAGTCTCCCTTGATGTGCCAACTGACCTGGTGAGGTGAGACTTCAGCTTGCATGAATGTTTCTGGGAAAGCAGCATTGCAGGAAGGCACCTTCACGTTCTGAGAAACAGTGACAATCACAGTAGGATAACTCAGGTTTTCATTTTACAGACTTGTTATACATTTTCCATAGTTGGTAGGGTTAATGCAGTCAAATCGAGGTAAAGCGTAATTTGTTCAGAATACAGATATCAAGAATACCTTGGCAGTCTTTTGAAAGATAGTAACTGGAGGTTGCACCATGTCATCTCTCTGCCTTGATGCTTATGAGGGTGTCTGCGTGTTACGTAGGCAGCAGCAAGGCATCTGCCAGCCATAGGAATAAATGACGGTGTATGCCGTAATTTCAGACTTCCAAAACATTTGTGTTCCCAGAAAATTGAGGAATTCAGAAGCCTCAGATAAACAGAAAACAAGCTAGGTTGTTTGGGGTTGTTCTCTTGACTGACTCTTTTAGCAATTGCGTGTGTTTAGATCAGCACGTTCCCAAAAGGTAAATTGATTCAGAAGCTACATAGTGCCTCTCTGCTTTAATTTACTATACATATGAAACCATACAAAGAGGAAGTGATCTGTGGGTTACCAGGCTGTTGGTTTACCTCTTCTTTTTTTTCTGTGAGATTGTGTTTGAACTGCCAACACCTATAACATCTCTTCCGAAATCTTACATAGGGTTAGAAGCGCTCTCTCCAGGTAAGCCAAAATGAAGTAGTGCAAAATTAATTTAAAAATACTCTGTAAAATTATCTATAGCTTTGTACGTGTGTTGAAGGTAAGCATGAAATATAGTTGCAGGTGGCATGGTGGTTGGAATTTAAAACAGTATTTCAGTTTACTTTTTTGAACCATAACTGCTTCTTATTTCATTTCTTTTTATCAGATCACAGAAAATACTGTACCATTCACTGTACTGGGTATATGAAGAATTGGCCTCCTAATGAGGTGGGAGTAGAAGAGGAGAATGATGTAGAAAAGGACAGTAGTAACTTTAACTGTCTGGTTGCAATTGGGAGGTTACACCCTTATATTGTTCCACAAAAGAGTGGAGAGATTAAAGTCAAAGCAACAGAATTTGTTACACGGTTTGCCATGGATGGAAAATTTGTTTATGTAGATCAGCGGTAAGCGTTTTGCTCTTTAACCAAGAGAAAATGAAAGTGTCACCACTAGTTAAATTTTCTAATACTTTCTGTCACAACTGTGATATCTCAAGGAGGATAGAATTTCTAGGTGCTGTACACAGGAAGCAGTTCATTTTGAATCTATGAGTACTTGGGCTTTGGTTTTTTTGTCAAACGTAAAGCATAATGTGTAAGAGTAAGTGTGTTCTATAGGAAAAGATGAGCTAGGAAGATTAAAGTATGTCCTGAAATGCACTGATGTGCTTATTTATTCATAAAGAAAAATCTCAAGTTAGACCTTCATAGCTGTGCATATGACTGAAGTAATTAACACTTAACCAATAATTATTACTTCTTAAAATCTTACTGGTTGGAACACATACATTCTATCTAAATGAGGTACCAAATTATTTCATTAGGAGCAAAAGCTGAGCTCCCGTTTTCTGAACACTCTCAAACACTTTTATGTGTGGTATAGACTGAGTTACCACTTTGCATTTGGGATTTCATTATTGTCCCTGGAGGGTTTTTATTGCTTTCAGTCATCTTGTCTTTCATCTAAAAGTGACAGCTTAAACCTATTCCTTCAAGTGGCAGAGCAAAATTCAGCTACTAAATTTTTTGACTGACTCATTCCGTGTGACCAGTATCCTGACTGGCTGATGGGAAGACCTGATGATCAGAAGGTGTTCTGTGTGTACATGTGGTTTGCATGTTTAAACATTGTTGGTTTGTCTTTGAATTGCCATTCCTTACAAATGGATTATTTGCAGCGAATGGTATTTGGTATTACCAAAAATGGTATTTCCTGTTGCTTTAGAGCTATACTAATGTGTTATCTTTTTTCCAAACATGAACACGAGCATCTATTTCTTTAAATACTCATTTTCTGAATTATCTGATTTTGAAGAAAACAAACTTTGCAGGTGTTTGAATCCACTGGAGTTCATGTTTCTATTTCTAACAGTGCAACAGCAATTTTAGGGTATCTGCCACAAGAGCTTCTAGGAACGTCTTGTTACGAGTACTGCCATCAAGATGATCACAATCATCTAGCTGAAAAACATAAAGAAGGTACAAAATATTCGGTCCTCTCAGACTACATATACCTTCATGTAACCGCTGTGGGAAAACAGCGCAAATAAAAAATTCAGAAGCTGAGAATTAATAACACTAAACAATCTCAGCATTGTCCTCCTCTACGTCTGCATTAAGACATGCCTGCATAAAGGTTGTAAGAAAAGCAGGGAGAAACTCCTGTTGTCTTGGACCTTGGGGCAGCGCTGTAATCGCAGGGGAGTAATGTCGGTGCTTCTTTTATCCCCCTGCTTCAACTCTTCGTGAGGATGGAGCCCTGAGGAGCAAATGGGCCTAATCTTGTAATTAACTGATTATGAAAGCTCGCCAAGTCTGGATTCTCCCTGCTAGTGGTTTGCAGAAACGTACTACTTGGACTTTAAGCTGACTAACAGTGCTGAAACAGTAGTTTGAATTTAGCAGGGGTCCCCTCCTGTCAGTTGTCCTGGCATTTAATTTGTATTTCTGGCCATCAAAACCATCTTGGCTTTATGATGCTGTAAGACAGCTTATTTTTTTTTAAACTTTCTCAGTATAAATGTGGTGATTACAACTTTCCTCTCTTATCCAGTGTTGCAGAATAAAGAAAAAGTGTTTACAAATTCCTACAAATTTAGAGCAAAAGATGGGACTTTCGTTACTTTAAAGAGTCAGTGGTTTAGCTTCATGAATCCATGGACCAAAGAACTGGAGTACATTGTATCAAACAACACTGTGGTATTGTAAGTAATTCATGACGTGAATTCCCGTGTCATTTTTTGTCTTAATTACAGGTAGCGTTAATGGAGAGCCATCTACTTAGGAAGCAGAACAAGACTAGAAAACATCAACACAGCACAAAAAGTGGTTGACTAACCTGGAAGAATTTTGCATTTACCATTTATCTTTACTTCAGGCTCAAGGGGTGGATTTAACTCCGAGAGCTGTGCCATTTCCAGGAGAAAAAAGGGGGTGAAAGAGTTAAAGGACTCAAGGAAGGCTCTTTTAAGAAAAACAGATAGGAATAAATGGAAATGTGAAGTTAGTTCTGCTTTTCCTTCCGAGCTTTACAAGCCTGCACATGTCAGTTGAGCTAATTTTAAGTGCTGCCCTAACTGATAGATTGTAGAAATGCAAGGCGGGACAACAGGATACTCTCCACATTGATTGCCGGGGAGGGTCCTGTGAGACAGCAAACACGTGTGCTTAATTCTGCCATCTGTAATCCATCTTTCTCGTTCCCTGTGCCTGGCGGTGGAGCTGTAATTTGGATTGTTCCAATGATTCTGAGGGTCTTTGCCAATGACTGAGTGTTTGAGAGGGGGACGGAGGGGATTTTATTTCCGTTAAACCCAATTTGTCAGGTGGCCTTTTACCCATCCTGTAGGTGATTCCTGTCTTAAGTCAACATCACCCATGTCCTCTTTTCCCTCAAGAAGACAGCAAAGAGCAGTTAGGACACTCAGTGCTGCCCAACAGCCAAAGGCTGCCCACCCTGGGGATCTGAACATCTGCAGGGGGCTAGAGGAGGGAAGGCCGGCAGCAGCTGCGGGCAGAAGGTAGTCACTGGCCTGGCCTGGCCGTGGTTGTTTCTGGCTTACTGGTCTCCCTGCTAGGAGTATGAATGGTAGCCTTGTTCTCGTGTGATGGAACACACACAGCCCTATTGGCCTTTCTTCTTTCGTCAGAGAAGAAGTAGAAATTTGTATTTCACCCAGTGCGTCAGAAACAGCAGTACAAAGGGTTGAACATGGAAAAGTGCTGGCTATCTCATATTTTTACTAGACTGAGGATGTTAGTTTTTACTCTGTGTGAAGTGTTGTCGGAATCAAACATAAATATGCTGGGGTTGGCTTTTGGAAAAAACTTGCTGATTTTGTTTCATTTATTTATTTACTTAAATCTCAGAGGTCATAACGAGTCAGCTGAAGAACAGGTCCCCCACGGTTCCCAGCCTGCAGAAGGCAAGTGTTGCTGCTTAAAGTTATCATAGATGCATCTCCTGATCAGTCATTATGATTTTAGATGTATTCAATCCAGGAGATTTTTTTTTTATTTATTATAGGCTGTTGTGCAAGGAAGGATTAGGTTTTTTTTTTTAAAGCTAATTCTGGTGACAGTTTCTGGTTACTCATAACATCATAATCCACGTCATTCGCATAACTCTAATCAGAAGGGCTTACAGCATATCTTTTCTTTCTAGCAGCTTCTACTACAGCTGGCTTTTGGTTTGTAGGATATTATGTTTCTGACACAGGCCCTCTTCGTATTTGGCTTTGTTTTCTGAAGAAATACAATTGTACTGAGTTTACCTATAGAATATAGGGTGATACTGGTATTGATATGTATTTTGTTAATATTTTTCTGCTATGCATAGATTCTGACTTCTACATGCTCTTTTGTCACATTGCTAACTTTTTTTTTTTGCTTTTGAAATTGTTTTTAATAACTAATCTCAGTTTGTGAAAAACCTAAGGGTGTTTTTCTCATGTGTTTTCCTTGTCTGTGAGAGAGCCTGGAGGTGGTAATAATTAAAGCTGTTTTCCTTACTGGAGATCAGCAATTTTCACAAATATATTAACTTATCTGTCTATTGCAATTTTCACAAATATATTCACTTATCTGTAAATAAGACTTAGAGCACCCTCCCCCATAAGCTTAGTGTTTAAAGGAATTTAACCTCTGGAGATAAGAGATATTGAACAAAAAATGTTTTAGAATGAATCTTTGAGGTGATTGTTCCTTGCTGCATAATGTAACTGCAACAAACTTAAGGATTTGTTTTGGGTTTTTTTTTTAACTGTAGATGCTGTAAAACAGTCTTTAGTAAATGTACCTGGAATGTCCTCTGGAACAGTTCTTGGTGCTGGAAGTATAGGAACCGAAATTGCAAATGAAATATTAGAATTGCAAAGGTAATAAATGCTTGACATCATATGTTAGGCTCTTAAATAAGGATGGAGAAGAGAGAGCTCTATGTGATTATGTGGGGGTGGTTCATGTTTCTTTTTTATTGTGTTGTATGTATAAAATACATTTAGTTTGGCATTACGAGATACTGATTATAACCTGCTGCTAGTCTCATGCATGGCAGAACACGTCACTGGGGTTGATAAATAGTTTTGTTCTGGGCATGCAGTTTCCTTTGTCAATGAAAGTGTTATTTAACTGTGGCTTCACATGATGTTCAACTGGGTAGATAGACCATTCGGGAATGGAAAATCAGTTGGCTGTGAGTAATATTTATGTTTTTCAGATAGCATTTCTCTGCTAGGAAAACTTTCATTGAAACAGTCCCCAGTGGAGTGCTTTCATGACCTGTCTTATCCTTTTCCTGATTATCCTGAATGCAGAATAAAGTGGTAGTACGATTCCTTCCCAGTACACAGCTGTAGATTAAATAACCCTCACTGCATCATTCCAAGTGGGAATCCATACAAGATTCAAATTGTTAAAGATTGACTGTTGTAAAACTAACTAGTTTTAGCAAGTCCGCAGCACAGCTAAAGAATTTGGAAGGAAGAAACTTATTTTTCATGTGAGGATATTGTTATGTATTTTTAGTGTTGGGTACCCGCAGTGGTGCCTGACGTGCTTGTATAGGGAGGGGCCTCTATTAGCCTGTGTCAGTTCTCACTGTATCACATTTGTTGTTGAAGAACATTTTTTAAAAAGTCTTTGAGCCATCTAATTCCAGGACTTTGGGATGCACATGCACAGAAGAAGTCTTTCAGTCACAACTCTTTCAGGAATTAAGGCTTCATCAGAAGCTCCAACCGCTTCTGTTAAGTTCAAGTATAGGATAATGGTACTATCATCAGCACAGGACAAGTGAAGTGTTTAGCTTTGGATAATGAAGCTGTTCCTCAGACTTTAGATCTTATACTTCCAATTCCAGGTGCAGGAA